TTAAATTTTCGCCAGTGCTGTGGCGCTTCAATCTTTGGCTATGTCTTGGGCTACTCAAATATTTTACGTTTTTGATACTAAATTAACATCTGAAGTATAATTTTTTATTGTTTTTATATTTTTCAATATATTTATTTTGTTTGTACAAAATATAAAAATAATTTTTAAGATAAAATAGTCTTTGTTAGGCTTAACATCGACGAAAATTCAACGCAAAGCGACACGCAACGGAGAAAAATTTTAACATAGGATAGGGTTAAATTAAACTATTTTTTCGTACATAATCGGTTATCCGAACAACCCCAGTCTCGAATTGATTCGGATAATCCACGCTCTACTGTATTTAATTTACTTTGGTAGAATCACCTATGACAGAGAAGAGAACCGTAGAAGATGTAGCAGATGCACAGAATTTTGAAATAGATTCTACACCACCGTGTCCGGTGATTGAATGTGTGATAGTGACCGATAGTTTCATTTCTATATATTTTAGCGAAGAAGAAATAAGACCATATCTAAATAAGATAATTCGTATTGTAAGCTTTAAAATATTGATTTATTATGTAATCAAACTTCTTCAATTCTTTATTATATTAATTTTCTTGTGTTTCATTTACAGGAAAGGTATCTCGATGAATTAGAACTAAATCTAACACTTCGTTTGATTGGACGTATCTCGTACACAGTAAGTTAAATGATAGCGAAAAATATCATTTATATTTCGTTTTTTCTTTCTGTATACTTCAATTTCAGAGCGAAACTGAACCGAATTACATTAAAGAAAGTCTCTATTCGCCCGATATCATCGCTGGTAGTGTCCTTTCTAAAATGATTGAGATTGAAGACAGTCCTGTTGTATCAAGACCCGATATTATTGTTCTTCTAACTGGGTAAGAATGAATTATGACAATCGCAGAACATAGCATCTTTACAGACTATGCGGTTGATACCTTTATCCACGAACTTGGACACCTGTAAGTAATTCCATTAAATAGTTTTAAATTCAAATGACATTTTTAAATAGATAAATGATATTGTAGAATCAATATTGGTCACGATTCGGAAGCTAAAAATTGCTCACCCGTCTTGCTTCCTGGAAAAAATCATTAATGTTATTGCGCTAAGAAAGGCGTAACAGAATTTTTAGACTAAGTTTAATTTTTTTTATTAAATTTACATATAATTTGTGATTGAATATTTTAATAGTTCAATTTTGCTTTTAACAGTACACACTCGTGTTTATTTGATCACTGTGACAATGGTGAAAAATGAAGAGTGGATATCATCATAAATCGACTGCATTCATCGATTGACAATAATTGTTCCTATATTAAAATTAAACTACAACTATAGTAACTCAATGTCATTTATAAACATTCAAAAAGTTCTCAATGTAACTATTTTTAATATCTGTTCTGTAATATTATTTAAATTTAATTAAAATAAATGATCTAGATATTATTTTGTTATTTATTTATTAGTATAATGTATAATACGCATATTTAGTTACATACATAAAGGATTTAATAACAATACAATCACGGTTCAAAAATACGTGATATTTAGACACTTATCGATGAAAGGTATCTTAAAAAACACAACAAAACAATGATAGAAGAAAATCTAGAAAGGAAGATTACGTTTCGAATACTTATTTGTCAATGCGCTCCTAATTTTAAATTCAAAGAATATAAATATTATTGAATAATTTACGCTACTATGATTTTGCATCTGTGTATTATCGAGAAGAAAACTGAAATGTCAACAGACCGCGTTATAATAGGAATATTTCTTATATTCCTATTCCATTTCTTATATAGGAATGTTTCTTTGATATTTTCATCGATGTTTCTGCTTTGTTAAAAGAGGAAATGTCAGCAGTTATTTTGAAACCTTAATCATACAATCATCAAAGTTCAATCATTATGTGCTAAGAAAACAATGAAATCTACATTTATAAATAATTTATAATTCAAAATTAACTTAATTATTTATGTTAATTTTTATCTTTTATGTGATAATCTGGAGATAAGGGGGAGATGTTTTAACGAAGTTGTTAAAATGATACGTAAATTAATTTCAAATAATGATTTTTTTAAATCAAGTTTAATTTATTTTTGTAAAAGGAAGTACTTTCTTTCTTGGAGAAAACTGTTTAGTTCGTTCTAAATTGATAATTCGAGCGCGGAATCTCATTTCGCAGGTCTACCAGAGGCCAAGCGGTTCCGTTTTCTTAACACTGGGAGTTTAAATGTGGGTTCACGCATCGTCAGGACGGACTGCCGCGTGGAATTTTCCGGGATTTCTCCACGTCTGTAACGCCTGAATAGGGTTCAGTTACTTTTAAAAATACCTCCCGGTAGCATCCCCTCTAGACAGATTGCCCAAATGTTGCGTTGCCATAAGTTCACTAAACAAACTAACATCTCACTTTACAATTTCCAAGACCGTCCGACTTCCTCCTCATGTCAGAAGTCTGGTGTCTGGTTTGATAGAGAACGTTTTTATACTTTTAAAACTGATTTTTAGTAAATATTTTATATTTTCCTAAAACCGCAGAAAAATAGAAAGTTTATGTTTGATGTCATCTACACAATTCTTATGATTCATTAGAGAAGTGAATTCGTACCTTCAGAAGTGAAAGTAACACTTTGTAGTTCTTTAGAAACAGTGTGTTAAACGAATCGTAGACAATTGCCATTAGTCCACTGATTCTATATACAAGGTAAAGATCACTTCTTTACTGCGCTTTTAAAAAGAATGCACACATGCGGCGCGACAAGGAAAAGCGGTGTCGCAAACGCATCTTCGCCGCGCGGCAGCACAACCACACAATCGGCAATCCGCATACATTTCGGCGCATGTGTTTAGTATTCAAGATGACGAACGATTTCGACACTGTTACTATCCACATGCTTACAAATTTTGTTTTGTACGGATTGCTTTATTTAGCTTGATTTTGTCGAAGATTCGAACGAAATATTTTGCTATTTTCTTGGATAGTAGAAAGAACTAGTGTACAAAATAGGCTTATTCCTCGATTAAAATATCTCGATAAAGAATACTATTTCGATTAAGACTCGGTTGTTTTGTTCTTTGAATTAAATTATATATGATTATTTGTTAGAATTTGTGTTAAATTTATTATTCTTTTAAATCGAGGCCACAAGAACACTGCCTTCTTTGCCATTTTCTCTCGCTAGGCCATGCTTCTCGCTAAGGTGTTTCCCGCAAGAATTTATTTTCGTCCTGTGTCGATATATCGTCCAAAATTTATGACCTTCGCCGAGAGAAACTTCGGAAATTCCGATCTGCATTCACCAGACGTTTTCCACTTCGAGAACTGGGCATATTTTGCATTGTCTGTTCAACGATAGGAAACCATTTTCATCACCGGACTCTCCTCTGCTACTTTTCAATAAGTAGCAGAGCAGATATTGTCCCCGCACATTAAGTTAACTAGCCCAACAACACTGGGAGTTTGGTCCTGGAATCGAGCCGCACTCGGACAGGCTGGTCACGTGGAATTTTCTGAGTTTTCTTCACTTCTCTAACATCTAAATAGTAGCCAGTTTCCCTTTAAAAGACCTCACAGAAAGGCAGATCGCCCAAGCGTTGCGTTGCCATAAATAAGCAAACGAAAAAGAAACGAAAATAAAAATTAATTGATTTATAGAAATGCAATAGAATGTACGACATGATGTACGTTAGAAATATTTCAAAGTAAGTACTAGACCGAGTTTCTTAACAATTGGGGGGAACAGCCTAAAAGTGTATACTTCTAGGCCGTTCTAGCGAACGAACAAACAAACATCCTTACTTATAATCGCACATGTCATTCTTTATAGTTACCCACAAAAAACCTCCAAAAATAAGACTGATTGACGAGCGTAATGCTTAGCACGAGCTTCGATTACGTAAGCACGTTTTTCATTGTTGCATAAACAATAAGTTATAAAAATAAGTTTTCAACTATTGTTGAAGAGATTTATCGATTATTGAAGGTTAAATTATCGAAAGTTAAAAGTGCGTAAAAAATGGATTCTATAAGTAAGTTAAATTCTTTTTATTATATAATTATATTAACTGTTTAATAACGTGTTNGATATAAATTCCATTACAGGAAATTCAATTAAAATTAAGCCAAGATTCGATATCCTTTATCGATAATAAATTATTATTAATACTTAAATTTCGATGTAATTTTAAGACGACATTTCAGATCCAAAGATAAATTGTTTAATTACATTTGCAGTGGTTTTCTCCATTATTATAGTGGATACTTATGAAAAAAGTTTCGGACTCAAGCATTTGAAAAGTAAGTGTATTTTATATATTTTCTCGTATTGGCTATAAGAGAAAAGGATATAAAAATAGTAATACAGTAGAGAGTCGATTATCCGAAAGTCAATCATCCGAAACGTCAATTATCCGAAAGAATTCCAGTCGGCAAATTTCAATTTTCGCCAGTGCTGTGGCGCTTCAATCTTTGACTATGTCTTGGGCTACTCAAATATTTTACGTTTTTGATACTAAATTAACTAATTTTTTATTGTTTTTATATTTTTCAATATATTTATTTTGTTCGTACAAAATAAAAAAATAATTTTTAACGATACAATAGTCTTTGTTAGGGTTAACATCGACGAAAATTCAACGCGAAGCGACACGCAACGGAGAAAAATTTCAACATAGGATACGTTAAAATTAAACTATTTTTTCGTAAATAATCGGTTATCCGAACACTCCAGTCCCAACTGATAATCGACGCTTTACTGTATTTAATTTACTTTGGTAGAATCATTTGTGAAGAGAACCGTAGAAGATGTAGCAGATGCAGAGGATTTTGAAATAGATTCTACACCACCGTGTCCGGTGATTGAATGTGTGATAGTGACTGATAGTTTCATGTCTACATATTTTAGCAAAGAAGAAATAAGACCATATCTAAATAAAATAATTCGTATGGTAAGCTTTAGAAAGTTGATTTATTATGTAATCAAACTTCTTCAATTCTCTATTATATTGTGTTTCAGTCACAGGAAAGGTATCTCGATGAATTAGAACTCAATCTAACACTTCGTTTGATTGGACATATCTCCTATACAGTAAGTTAAATGATAGTGAGAAGTATCATTTATATTTCGTTTTTTCTTTTTGTATACTTCAATTTCAGAGCGAAACCGAACCGAATTACATTACAGAAAGTCTCTATTCGCCCGATATCATCGCTGGTAGTGTCCTTTCTAAAATGATTGAGATTGAAGACAGTCCCGTTGTATCAAGAGCCGATATTATTGTTCTTCTAACTGGGTAAGAATGAAGTATGACAATAGATTTATATTACACTTTAAACGGCAGAACTAAAAGAACAAAAACTATTATTTAATTCATAATTATCGAATGTTAATGCTAATTGACACGAATACATTTCAAATATCGTTGACATTTGTTTTATACTTAATCGATTTGTTCTTTTTACTTAAAGTAAAACATGAGAAAATTATTTTTCTAACAGACGTAGTCTAATTTTATCTCTCCCAAAGCCAGGAGAAGATCCACATCACATCGCCGGTAACAAATCCAGAATTTCAAATTACGTTTTTATTTCAACAGGATTTTTAATGTTATAACCATTAAAAATTTCTCTGCAGGTTTGGCTTTCGAAGGAAGTGCTTGTAATTCGTGGAACAAATTTGCTATCGCAGAACATAGCATCTTTACGGACTATGCGGTTGATACCTTTATTCACGAAATTGGACACCTGTAAGTAATTTCATTAAATAATTTTAAATCCAAATGACATTTTTAAATAGGTAAATGATATTGTAGAATCAATATTGGTCACGATTCGGAAGCTAAAAATTGCTCACCGAAATTGCTACATGGAAAAAATCATTATTCTTATTGCGCTAAGAAAGGCGTAACAGAATTTTTAGAGTAAGTTTCATTATTTTTATTAAATTTACAGATAATTTGTGATAAATATTTTAATACTTTAATTTTTCTTTTAACAGTACACACTCGTGTTTTCTTGATCACTGTGACAATGGTGAGAAATGAGAGTGGATATCTCTATTAATAGACTACGTACATCGATTGACAATAATTGTTCCTATATGAAAATTAAACTGCAACTGTTGTAACTCAATGTCACGTATAAAAATTTAAAAAAATTCTCAATGTAACTATTTTTAATATCTGTTCTGTAATATTACTTAAATTTAATTAAAATAAATGATCTAGATATTATTTTGTTATTTATTTATTAGTATAATCTATAATTCGCATATTTAGTGACATACATAAGAGATTTAATAACAATACAATCACGGTTCAATAATAAGTGATATTTAGACACTTATCGATGAAAAGGTGTCTTAAAAAATACAACAAAACAATTATAAAAAAGTCTAGAAAGGAAGATTTTGCATCTGGTGTTATCGAGAAGAAAACTGAAATGTCAACAGACCGCGTTACAATAGGAATATCTTGTTTCTTTGATATCCTCATCGATGTTTCTGCTTTCTTAAAAGAGGAAATGTCAGCAGTTATCATCAAAGTTCAAAGCTAAGATAACAATGAAATCTACATTTATAAATAATTTATAATTTAAAATTAACTTATTTGTTTTTGTTAAATTTTGTCTGTTGTGATAATCTGGAGATAAGGGAAATATTTTAACGAATTTGTTAAAATAATACCTAAATTAATTTCAAATAATAATTTTTTAAATCAAATTTAATTAATTTTTTGTAAAAGGAAGCACTTTCTTTTACGAGAAAACAGTTTAGTTCGTTCTAAATTGATAATTCGAGCGCGGAATCTCACTTCGCAGGTCTACCAGTGGCCAAGCGGTTCCGTTTCTTTAACACCGGGAGTTTGGATGTGGGTTCACTCATCGTCAGGACGGACTGGCCACGTGGAATTTTCCGGGATTTCTCCACGTCTGTAACGCCTGAAAAGGTGTCACTTACTCTTAAAAATACCTCCTGAAAGCATTCCTTCTAGACAGATCGCGCCAAGTGTTACGTTGCCATAAGTAACTAAACAAACAAACATCTCACTTTACTATTCCCAAGACCGTTCGACTTCCTCCTCATGTCAAAAGTCTGGTGTCTGGTTTCATAGAGAACATTTTTATACTTTTAAAACTGATTTTTAGTAAATATTTTATATTTTCCTAAAACCGCAGAAAAATAGAAAGTTTATCTTTCATGTCATCTACACAATTCTTATGATTCATTAGAGAAGTGACTTCGTACTTCAGAAGTGAAAGTAACACTTCGTAGTTCTTTAGAAACAGTGTGTTAAACGAATCGTAGACAATTGCCATTAGTCCACTGATTCTGTATACAAGGTAAAGATCACTTCTTTACTGCGCTTTTAAGGAGGATACACACATGCGGCGCGGCAAGGAAAAGAGGTGTCGCAAACGCATCTTCGCCGCGCGACAGCACAATCACACAAGCGGCAATCCGCATACATTTCGGCGCATGCGTTTAGTATTCAAGATGGCGAACGATTTCGACATCGGTACTATCCACATGCTTACAACTTTTGTTTTGTAGGGTTTGCTTTATTTAGCTTGATTTTGTCGAAGATTCGAACGAAGATTTTGGATTAGAGCTATTTTTTTGGATGGAGAAAGAACTGGTGTACGAAATAGGCTTATTCCTCGATTAAGATCTCTCGATAAAGAATACTATTTCGATTAAGACTTTGTTTTGTTTTTTGAATTAAATTATATATGATTATTTGTTAGAATTTGTGTTAAATTAGTATCCTTTCCTCTTTATTCCGAAGTTTGTTATCTGGTTTAACCGCGTCGAACATTCCGCCATTAAAACACCACGTGATTGTATTTTTTCACATGACTATTAGACGAACTGTTATTGGCTGATAGAAACGCTTCTTGGCGGCTTAAAAGAGAGTTGGGATTGCCTTTGACAATAAAATCACTATACGAAGTTAGATATAAATAACATATGTAGCTTCTCTATTTTCAAAATTTTGTAGGAATGTATAAAGTGTTCAAGTAGAGTGACACCGAATACCGCAATGTTGAATAGGATGTAGTTTAGAAGTTATTGGTATGTATATCTCGAATACTTTTAGCATTGCAGCAGATAGGGTGATCGGTCTGACAGATTTGGTGCTTTTTTATTTATAACTTTTATCGTAGAAGAAAGCCATTATATCGGAATAAAGTTATATTGTAGTCTGGAGAAGAGTTTAGATAATATGACGACCGCGAAAGGTTGTAGTTTAAAAAAAATGGCAGGTATCTGTACCTAGGTTTCGATGTAGAATGCAGAAAACACTTTCCCTATTGTTGTGGGCGAATAGACGGTAATTATAATTAAACGATTGACAGGTAATTTTACTATTAAAACACAGTCTAGGTATTCAAAAATTTTTATAACCTAAATAGATATAGGGTATAATAACAAGATATTACCTCCTCGTTGGTGTTCTCTAGAAATGGAAAAATAGGAATTACCTAATTTTATTAAATGCAATTATAAACATCAAACGAATAAGGGGTTAACTGATAAATGCATGAACGAAGTGTGGAAGAAGTTATAACTGAAAGTATCAAGGGGTTCTCAACGTTAGGGTTGACCAAATTGTCAACCTAATCGATACAGCTAGATGTAGACGAGCAGGATATTGAGAATAAGATTCGCATCATTTGACGGGATGATCTGATGAATCAATTGGCCAGATGTTGTGAGAAAATCAAGATAAGGTGCAAGATAAAGGAAGCTTAATTTCCTTTTTACCTTATTTGCCAGGTTTTTACAGGATGCTGTCTTACTTTTTGTATCTTTTATTACGTTAATTTTATAGAAATATTACCAACAATTTATCAATATAATATTTAATTCAAAAGCTATCTTAAAAGCGTATGACCTGTCCAGCTCTTCACGTGGTGTGAAGAGCTGGGCAGGTCATATGCTCTCCTCTCTTCAAAAATTACACTACCCTAAGAAGGCGTGATTTTTCATTATTATGTGACAAATAGAAGGCTGATTGCACAATCTCTCTTAAGAACAAAGGTAACGGGTTATATATATAGGCTATAGATATTATAAAATATACATAACTATAAATATGAGGGTTATACAATATAACTTTGAATATAATAATTGGTACAATACTTTGAATGTTAATTAAAACAATAAAAAATACGATAATTAATATAATAAATTGAATACAACAATTTGAATTTAATAATTGGACAATAATAAATACGATAATTAATATAATAAATTGAAGGTATACAAATTTCACAGCCATAAAAATATAAGACAAATAGATAGCAGTCTTAACACTATTATCTTCGTAGGAAGTTGGTTGTGAGGAAGTTGTTCACTTGATAGCGGTTGACACTCGAACGTCTCCAGACAGGAAGTTGAGCCAACTGGATTGCTTATAGTCTGTTTAGGGCACGAACAATTCCAATGCTCTTCCTTCTCTTTTTCACTGATGTTCCATACATTAGAGGTAAACTACCTTGGCATTCTTCATAAGTTCATAAAATCAAAAGTTAGTTAATAAATTCTAAGTATAATCAGCATATAATTTCGATGCCTTTAAGAGGTATTGAAATTGTTACAATTAATCATTTCTACTTTCTCTCTTATACCTTATTTATACCTTACTAATTCTATACCCTATTCTAAAGTTACTTCCTATAAATCATATATTAAGGAAATGGATAGACGTACAAAAATCGAATAGGAAATACTGAAGGAAGTAACTTAGCTTCCGTTGATTATCATTCTATGACTAGTGATAATGTTAAAATAGGATATAATTGCTATAATAATTTTGATAGGATATTAGTTTGGTTAATAAAATCATTATTATAAGATCGAACACAAGTCCTAATAATAACATTTCGAAAATATTATTCGTTAGGAAAATAGGAAGAGGATCGGCAAGATAGCTATACTATATCGATACCAGGTAATTTAAACAATGGAAATTATTTAACGCCTTAATTTCAGGGAGAGAAGGATCGACTAGTAGCTGGAGAAAGAAATCTAGGAATGCGACTTTGACTCAATTTCGCCGATTTGTTGACCTGTTGTTGGCTGCCTTCTCTCTTGTGAAGTGTTTGATCATTTATTCCTTGTCTTGGTTCATCTCTTCGGTGTATCCCATAAACACCGTCATGAGGAACAGTATGATTCGCATTATGTCCTTAAAGTTAAATACTGAGGATTCGTGCTATCGTCTTAGGTGGCCTATGCTCACGTGCTATCGCACTTACCTTCAACTCCCTTTCAGGATGTTCTACAATTTCTCTACATTCTTCTTTAGATTTTTGATTCGTCTTTTCTATCATCTGGTTTTACTCGTCAATCTTCACTACAATGACAATAATATCTCCATTCTATCTGATAGCAACTCTGCAATTTAGCTCATCAATAGCCATGCCACTCATCCTATCATCATCAACATATAAAATTATTGTCACTTCTAACAACAATTATTCCTTCTGTTGGATTAAAGCCTACAACGGTATTCCTGGAAATGAGCGTGCAGACCTGCTCGCCAAGTCTGCTGGTGTTGATACCATCCTCGTTATTACCGACAACAATCTCCCCTTTGCTGTTTATTTCAGCAAGCTTTGGGAAGACATAATTAACACCTGGCAGCAACGTCGTAGCAACAACCACAACAAGACTACCTTCTGCTTTTTCCCATCAACCAAAGACACTGTAACGCAACTTGGTTCATTCCTAACCATTTCAATACCCAATTCTTTACCGATCATGGACGTTTTACTAGTTACTTATATCGTTTCTCCCTTGGAGACTATGACCTCTGCCCACTATGTGAGATTTCTGATGGCAGCCATCATTATATCTTTGACCGCCCCATGTTAAGTCACCAACAGCATATTCTCCGTTTTGCAGTTTTGAACAGTGAACTCAACTGGCCGTGTGACTGCCATCATCTGATCAACAATAAAGTACTATATTCTCACTTTAACATAATCTTTCAGGTCTATTACAAGCTCACCTCTGTATCTCATCGTGGTCATCGCTGATTCTCTGAATGTATATACATGTAACGTTACTACTCTTAATCACTGTATATCATTCACTGTTTCTATGTATCGGCAGCACTGTTACTCGTCATGTGTATTATTGTANCTGTAGTCCCCCTGTGCGAACAATAAAGTCAAAAGAACCATACCCCTATGCGCGACCCTTCGCGAGATATAAACCCCTGAAAATTCGCCTACGTCATGTCCGGTCACGTGACATCGTGGTCAAAAGCCTACTGCGCGAAAAAAAATTAACGCGCGCTCGCGCACACTCGCTCATTGGCAGGGTAAATTGTGGCAAACAGGAGGTCACGTAACCCGTAGAATAATTTTCGAAGGGCTATATCTCGCGAAGGGTTGCGCATACGGGGATGGTTCATTAAACATTTATTGTTCGCACAGAGGGGGGTCGCCACCCCTTCATTCGGAGGGTAAATCTTGCTGTCCCAATCGTGTCATACAGATCTATATTTCTACCTATTAAACATTCTATAAATACTTTAAAACTTTGTTTAATTTGTTTATTTACCTTCGCTTGTAAACCTCGATTTTAAATGTATTTTTCAACAAATTTCCCGTGAGTCAATGCGCGACCTTCACCGAGTTACGGGATGTCGTAAACTTGCGGCGCAAGGTTAATCGAGGCATATAATAAAGCAAGGCAACGCATATAATAATTATTTATATTATTCTGNGTTCAGCTTACATGTTCGGACGTGTCGTGCGAAATCGACACATAGCTACAATTTATTTTGTGTTATTTATTTCTGTGTTTGTTATATCTACGGAGACTCGAGAGACTCTACTATGTCATCCAAACGAAGTAGAACTGATTCTTCTGCATCAAACAAAAAAAAAAGAAAAAAACTTTCTTTGGAATGTAAAGTTAACATTGTTAACTTCGATATAAAAATAGAACTTTGTGAATTGGCAAAGTCTGATCTACCGGAATCGACGGTCAGAACAATTAAAAGGTAAAGAAAAAATTTTCGAAGCTGAGAAAAATGCTCAATCTTTAAATTTAAGCATCATTCGTAAACGTCACGGTATTATCGCTGAGATGAAAACAATGTTAAAATTATGGTGTGGTAATCAAGTAAATGTGAAAAATTGTAAAATAATATAGGCCTAATTTATTATACATATGTATTATCTAAGATTTTATTAACTGTTGCGAGAGAGAGAGTTTACAAACGACTCGCGTGTGGATAAATACCTTATAACTGAGTCGAAGATCAATGACTGGATACACCGTCAACGAAATGTTTGAGGTTCGATGAAATTGTTCTGAATATTTAGTGTGTCCGGTAACAGCAGCAGCTCCAGAAAGACGTATCCAACTTGTGTTGAGGCACTTAGGTGGCACTTACGATATCCTAAGATAAGGTCGGCGGCGGCACGGTATTTTGCACGATAATAACTCTTGCGAAGGCAAACTTGGGAGGACGACTGACTTGATTTGTCATCGCTCTCCCTTGCTATTTCGGTTTTTTCTGGGTTTTTTCTATGAGGTCAAAAGTCTGTTGTTAAAGGCCTGGCGTTTAATACTGGAAATTTATCGAAAGTTCCAGGTGACACGCTAATGACTAGATGGATTATCCTCAACAAGGAACCAAATCCGTGGAAAAAAATTTTTATGGATTTTAGCCTAACTTTGGACAAAATGATCGAAGTTAGACGACTGAATTCCAAAATAATTGAATTTTAAAATAACACTTTATTGAGCATCTGTTCGTCCTTCACATTATAAAAAATGTGTGCATTAACTTGTAGCCTATTGAAGGCTAGAGAATTCATTAGCTTATGGGAATCACAACTTCATATATAGAATGCAGAAAAATTTTTTGATTTATTTTTTGAACAAAAGCTGTGTATTATATGCTGTAAAATACAGTATCTTAACATTTGGAATCCACCGGGATATTTTCCCCTTCAACAACTAGATTATCACGAGATGATATCTAACAAACCATTACAGATGAATAAATAAACAATAATATTAAAATACATAATTTTACTTTTATAAAGTCTGAGTGAAATCACAAATATATTGTTGCAGAATATACATCAATATTTTTTTATTTTAAAAATCTCAAGAATGTATCGCAGATATCTTTTTCTTCATTCTGATAATTATACAATATCAATATAATGAATTAAAATTCCGATATTGTATATAAAATATAACTGTAACGAGGCCGGATAATCAGACCGTTTAGGCGTCAACCTATCTGTCTTGAGGACTAACCCCAGGAATTTTTTTATGGGTCATCATTACTGGATATGTTGAACCTAGTCTTTCATTGCCCGGTTGCTCTAATTTTCGCCTGGTCCCACGATGAGCTTAATGTCATTTTATTATCTACAAGGTGAAACTGAAAAAATACTAATGAATTAAGTATTTAGTGTGGAAGTCTCTGAATTTGAACAATAGTGAAGTTTCTGAAATTAATTGATTTACTAAGACGCATTCATTTTGTCAGAATAATACACAAATTATTCTGTTTTCATCTGTATGCTATTTTGTAATGAAAAAGCGTAAAGTGATGTCAAATTGACATAATGGCATACGCTTGCATAACATGTCATTACTTTATTAACGAATCAAAAACGCAAAAAAATCACGTGAGATCTATTTCTTTCAACTTTTCTCCTTGTGGACACTACGAAGTCTTTTCATCAATTGTTGAACTGGTCGATTCAGCCCGATCAGTGCAGTAACCGGGTTATGAAAAACGAGGCTCGACATATTCGTGACAGATCATCCGATGGAAAATTCTTGGTGTTCTTGTTCTTTCTGGTTCGTTTTCGGGTTTCCAGAGCGGTAAGCTAACTTCTTAACGCATAGCATTTCTTCCGCATAACTTCGATTATTAATGAATTAATTAATGAAATTTTTGTTTTTCTTTTGCAGGGATCTTCACAAATATAATGGAACTACTATCAATATTGTATCACCAATGCTAATTTAGGCTATAACTAAATGCAAGTCTTCAATACGTAATAAATTTTATTAGCAAATTTTTGGATTGCTAATAAAATGATTATTCATATTTAAATATTGATTCTATTCTATATTCTATTAATAATGTTGTAAGTTTTTATTTGTTGATTACTTAGCACCTGCCATAAACAATTTTAAACTATGAGGTCGCATAAGTACGCACAATACAAACGGACCTAACCTTCTATGAAGTTGAGTAATGGAACCAAGAGATGGAGAATGATACTATCGGTAGGCTAATATCTAACAGTGGATCTACTGGGAGTATCACAATATTTAAACAGTTCTTAATGAATGTTCACATCACTGACGTTAACAAATATTTGACAAGTTAAGACCTCTTAATACTTGCAGGGAACGAATTAGAGAAGAGAACACGATATTACGAACAATACTTTGGGATTACTTATGACATTCAATTCCTATTGATTTATGAGAGGACGTTAAATGCTTCACATTCGCAGGAATCGCCTTATTCAAAAGTGCATTGAATATGCAAATATGACAAAAATAAATATATTGAATAACCAGTTTACTGGATTAAAAAGTACTCGATTTTAAATAATAAAGATACAGTTTCATACAAAGAAGTTTTACTACTGCTTGATTCATTACGATGGAAGAGCTTGATAGAATAAAAAGTTTGCATAAGCCCACTAGAGATGGAGTGGATAAAACCACTGAATACTGGTAATTGTTCACAGGCTCGTCTTTTACATCCGACTGGCGAAATGGAATTTTGCGTGTTTCCTTCATACGTCTAACTCGTAAATGGAAGCTGTTTCCCATAGAAATTTCTCCCTGTAGGCATTTTTACATAGCAAGTCAGTTAGGTTTTGCGTTGCTAAATGTTAGTAAACAAATGGAATCAAATTATTTCCAGAAAAATAATTTGAAGTTAATGTAACATTTCTTCACTAACATAGTTAATTCTACACGAATTTCTTAATTTTTATTTTTCTTCGTGAAATTGTTCAATAATTATTACTTTGGAAGCATTTTTATGTATGGAATGCATTCCCCATTTATATATATGTACATTAATAAGTCGGCTTTAGTTTGTGCACGTCTCTGTTTAGTCGAGTTTCTATTGAGAAAAAGGTTACATTTTTAAAAATAATTATAACAGTGGGTGTTCGGTTAACGAACATAATTCGTCTAATAATATATAGTCTATTTGTGTTCGACATTGAAGACAAACAATGAATATTTTTTAATGAAATTTTAAGAGTTGTATTCATATTAACACAGTTCTGAAAAATAGTACCTTACGAATAAGGAAAAGTCATAAACATCTTTCTCTAAAGTTAACTATAATGTAAAAATCTTTCGGTAGTCAGAGAATTTCCAAAATTGTTTGCACGTTAATAATTAGTTTCATTAAAGTTTCAGCCATAACTACTCGTATTATTTACATAAGTTTCAATTTTATACGCCATTTTGCATCGGTTGCGAGTACCCGACAATTGTATGAGTATGGACAAGAAGGAATAAACTTCGCTGATCATCTGATAACAATTTAAACACTAAAATATTTAAAAGTTTATGTAAATTATTATGACAATCGTCATTACTTACTCTAATTGCCAATTTTTTATTTATGTAGAATAGACCAGCGATTGATATTCCAATTGAAAATCTTCCGAATTTCTTCATATAATCTAGCATATGTTAGAAATAAATTTAAAATTTATTCGAAGTATTGAATTTAATAGTGAATAAAAATTTTATAAAATTTATTATAGATGTAAATATAATAAACCTCGCCATTAATTTATAATTTAGAGACAAGTGCGCCTTGGAAAAATAGTTTATTTCGTTAAAAATGCTGTAAATCTGAAAAAAAAAGACCGTTAATTTTATTTATAATGGATGTTTTAAAAAATTACAGAGATTCAATTTAATAGTGAATAAAAATGTTATAAAATTTTTAATAGATGTAAATATAATAAACCTCGCCTTTAATTTATAATTTAGAGACAAGTGCGCATTGGAAAAATAGTTTATTTCGTTAAAATTGCTGTAAATCTGAAAGAGAGAAAGCAAACATGAAACTGACAGTGAATAATACTACAGCTATGGTCATAATTTCCATAAGAAGAATCCAATCCAGATCCATGAATAAAGAGACTGATATAAGCAGAGGAGGCAAATATACGTAGAATGCGTAAATCGCTGCTAGATATAAATCTCCTGTTTCGTTGATACATTGAATACAATACCACAGATCCCAATGAAATATAACAATTTCTTCGAGGAGAAGTTGTATTCCTTGTACGTTAATGGAGGTCTAAGTTAGACACTGGCTCAGATGTCGTAGTCTTACGTATATTTTATAATATAACGCCCCGATAGGGAATAATATAAAGTATATTTGAGTCGATGCAAATATTATAATTAGTATTATATTTACATCACAGAAGGCGATTTCCACAACCGATTTGTCAGTAAAGGCGGGGTATACGAAGATCTCAAAAAAAAAAAGAAAAAAAATTACGGCTGTGATTGTGGTAAAGAATTCCAAGCAAGAGAATATCAGAAATAAATTTTCGATTCTTCTCATTTGTGTGAGTTTACTTTCAAATGCACTTTTTTCGCTTGGTAAGTACAATTTTCTGTTTTTTAAATAGCTGAATTGAAAGCTGTAAAATAATAGAAACGATGTCACGATTCATGTAACAGTGTGTTTCTGCTTCGGAAAGACGAATGTCCAACTACTACACAAAACATTTTCTTTGACGATGGTGGGGGAAAACAGTAACACATTGAATCACCATGACTTTTCTATAATGATGACAGAGTGGCGTAGCATAGTGGGGGCGGCAGGGGTGGCACTTTTAGGGAACGGCAAAATTTCCCAATAAATAATAATATCTTGTAAAAATTTGAATCACTTCTTTTCATATTTTTGTTGCATCAACGATTCGGCCCGATTGAAATGAGCACGGAATTTTTCATTACTTATTTTGTGACGAAACTGAAGTTTAGTCTTTTATATTGAGATACCTAAATAAGGGAGCGGCGAAATTTTTCTCCGCCCCGGGTTGCTGACACCCACGTTACGCCACTGCGTTGACATAAATACCAAAAAGTTTGTCGATGTAACTTTTAACGTCGACTGGACCATTATTCATATACAGTATCTGAATACCAAACACCTTAACAGCTCTGATGAATGGATAAATGAAGTTGTGTTTCTTGATGAGAAGCAACGGTCATTAGCACTTGAATATCGTGGGATACTTATTAAACATTAAAAATTGCTTGATGTATTACTATGTCCCATGGTTTTCACGAAATTTAGTAAAAGATTTTTCTATATATATATGTCTGAACATGTTACTTGTAATAGACTGAAGTAATCGTATTCAGTCCTGATGTTAATGTATAAATACAGATGCGTAGTACCTGTAAATATAATTTCCATAAAATTACCTAAATATAAAATCGATAAGTCTTAATGGAATAAATGAACACAGCGTTGTATATAATTAATATAACAACTATAATTTACCAATATTTCCATTAGCTTTCATGAAATATTGACACAGTAGTAATAGAAAAGAGTAGTGTGTTTAGTAAACAAGAAAAATAATTTGATGGATGTATTAAATTGCAGTTTTATAAGTTACGTCCAAGTCTATCTTTTGAATAATTTTCGTTGATAATATACAGGTAAGGTTTTAAGCACGTGATTTAATGTTATTTATGTTAAAATTTCACATTAAAAAATTAGGAAAATTTAGAGAAAAAAATTCAGTTTATGTACTGTATTTATTCGATTCGCCATCGATTGTAATAATGCATCATAATTTCAGAACTACAACGAAAATCATAAAAGTATATATAATAAAATGCTAAAATGTATCTAACAAATATGTTTATTATAATATNTTAAGCTTAACATCGACGAAAATTCAATGCGAAGCGACACGCAATGGAGAAAACTTTCAACATGGGATAGGTTAATATATTTTTTCGTACAAAACCGGTTATCCGAAAAATAAGTTACCCGAACAACTCCAGTCCCCAATTGATTCGGATAAACGACGCTCTACTGTATATAACAAAGGTAAGTTAACAATGTGCGTGCCGCTAAAACTCAAAACCGAGTCCCGGCACGATCAATGGAGTTATATGATGTGGTAGCCCTGTATCCCCCATCCACGAAGAAGGTTCCTGTTTTTACCTGAAGATATCGTGCTGTTGAAGATATAAGGGACGGAAGTTAAGGCTTAGCCAGAAGTACTCGGCTTCTATTGTACTATTTCTAGATGCGATTTTTTGCGTTGTTGACTGCGTTTTAGTAGGCTACCATATTTAGTAGGGTACCGCAAGAGATGAAAGAAGTGTGTTCCTTAACAATGGAAGTTTTAAAAATGGAAGTGTTGAGAGAAAGCGGCGTACAAGATTTACAGGCGCAGATGCGGTTTTTTGCGTTTTTGCAGGAAATCGAACATGTTTTTAGACCCCGGTATAAATTCTATAGTTAGTCTAGAAACAGGAGACCTAATTCTTGCATTCTGTTTAAACGGGTAAGATTGGCTATAATGTAATTTTAATCTTTATTCTTAGTTGTTTTGGAATAGTCCAGGACTATTATGTGTGCTTAGTGGGGATGGCTTTTGGAAACGTGTGACGCACAAGCTTCAGTTGATTTTTCATAAGTAAAAGTGTACAAATAACAGAAAAAAGTAGAAAGTGAAAAGTGAATAGTGAAGTTTGAAAAATAAATATATAAAAAACAACGCCAAAGCGTAAGAAAGAATTTTTGCGGTCGCGAATCATATCTGAAAGGCATAAGATAGCGCGGGGAAATGAAACCACGGAAGAAATAGAAGTACTGTACATATTATTCAAGCAGTTTCGCAAAGTGTTATCAAACCGAGAACTGCTATTCCCAGACAAAACTATATCATAAGTTTTCCTCCTTCCATAGACATGTGCATAATGATTACAACAGTACTAGCTATGTAACTAATAACAAAAACATAACAGATAGAAGTAATAATTCTTCCGATGTCATTTATTCTTTCCACTTCAAGCGCAATTTTATGGTATTCTTCTTGTATACTCTTTATGATATGAATGTATTGTAAATGTCGCGACTGAATGAAATGTATTTCCTGAAATAATGCTTCCAATTTATAATAAATAATCGTGAAGAGTGCTATCCCTATCGGAATAAAAGCTAAAATCACTGTCAGGCACGTTATACTTAACGAAGCAAAACCTATACATATACTTGCAATTAATGACCCACTATCTTCTTTCATAATTGAATAACGGTTCCTAATTATGTTTATTGGAACTAATGTATTTAGCAATACAGTAATGCTAACGTATGCCTTCGTCAAATATCTTTGTACTTTAAATACTTTGTTTGATGTTTCTTGACTTAAATTCTCATCGCAACAATGAAATTGTGTATTTTTCATTTTTAAATATGCTAGATAATACGAAATGGAAACAGTGAAAGTTTCAACGTTAA